AAAGGACATAGTGACAGTCAATTATGTGGATTGGGATGACATAGAGGGACCCCGAGTCTCTGGATATGAAAGTTTCCTGAGGTATACAGCCTGAGTGAATGGATAGTGGAGATTGGACCTTTGAATTAGGATGACCATCCCAAGGGCACAAACATGCATTGTCATGACCATCCTAAGTTAGACATATATGAACAACTGTACATGTGATCTGCCACTTCCAGAAACATATGCAACTATACACAAAATCAGTCAACACACAGATATCACACACCAAACACACACATACAGCCATAGCCAATGCACATTGTGCATATATGGAAATGCACATGTACATACTCCAGCTTTTTATGAAAATGGTCACACACACACACACACACACACACACACACACATACACACACTACGCAGTCCATGCACAAAGCCAGCATGGTTTAAGACATACCTTCTTAACACACACACACACACACACACACACATAAAAGTGCCTACAGATAAGTGAACACACATGTCTACTTCTGTTCACATTACTCTCCCTTGACACACAGACTCATTATCTCAGACAGAACTCATTCCCACTTCAAAATGTGCACAACTATCCACAATCCATAGACATATGTGAGCACTGTCTAAGTTAGGATTTCTATTTCTGCAATGAAACACCATGACCAAAGAAACTTGGGAAAGGCTTTATTTGACTTATGCTTCCACATCACAGTCCATCATCAAAGGAAGTCAGGACAAGAACTCAAACAGGGCAGGAATCTGAAGGTCAGAGTCGATGCAAAGTCCACAGTGGAGTGTTGCTTGCTCCTCACGGCTTGCTCAGCCTGCTTTCTTATAGAACCCAGGATCAATAGCCCAAGGATGGCAACACCCACCATGGGCTGCTCCCCCACCCTGCATTGATCACTAATTTTAAAAACTGCCCCTCAGATTTACCTACAGCTATATTTTATGGAGGCATTTTCTCAGTTGAGGATAACTCCTTCCATTGACTCTAGCTTGTGTCAAGTAGTCATAAAACTATCTAGCACAGGTGCCTATGTGGTCTTAAACATCCTAGAAGATATAAGTGTACACGTAATCCCAAACTCTAATACTTTTATACACGAGCGTGCTTGTGTGGGAACCTTGCGTATGTGCTCAACCCCTCCAGCACATACGAATAGTCTTACCATGGATGTGCCAAACATGCACACATATCCATGCACAAAGTGCATGTTCATAGGTACGCAGACATTTGTGCACCAACTCATGTGTCCTCACACACTTGTATGTGAACCATTTTCTGTCTTGCAAACCCACACAGCCACACTTGTTTCTGCTTTTAATTTTCTTACTTGTTTATTTTATTTGAATAAATTCTCAACTTGTAACAATAGTCCTGCATTAGGCTCCCACGAGCTGTGATCCATGTGCCTCTGAACATTTTACATACCTGGGTAAATGCATTGACACACAGGCCCCTCAACCACACCCACAGCTGTAGGCCACATGCTAACAAGAGGCCCTTCTGATAGCATATCCCAGCCCTCACCACTGCAGTCTCTCTGGCACTCACAGCAGGCTGAGGATTTCCATGGGGCAGCCAACCCTTTGGCATCTCTGCAGAGCCAGCTCAGTGCTTATGGTGCTACATGTTAGTGCCATGATTAGACAGTCAGTGAGATTAGGCTCACTGTCATATCAGTGCTGGGCAAGCTGGGTCAGCCAACCTCCACATGGACCTCACTGTAGGCCATGGGCCCTCACAACACTGTAAGTGTAGCTTTCTGAGATGCTTTCATGGGTGGGGGTATATAGCACACACAGAGGCAAAGTGAGTTGAAAGCATTCTGGATCTGTCCAGGGGTATTTGCCATGCCAGTGCCAAAGGGGAGGGTGGCACTGAAGTCAGGAAATGCCATTAAGCTGTCCTAGAATCAAGCTGGCTGTTTAGATGTCTGGCTGACTGAAGGCTGAGGAAAAATGACTGCCTGCAGTGCAAGGCCATCCTGGCAAACAATGAATTATGGGCCAGGCTGAGCTAAACAGTGAGACCTTCTCAAAAAACCAACTGCAAAAGAAAGACCATTTAGGCACAAGACCATATTTATGTGCTTATGCACCTGGGCCAGAGCCCTACAAGCCTCTCTGAAAAACCCTGTGTCAGGGCCACCAGGTGAAGCTGTCATGAAACCTGTCTAGGAATAAGGGAGTGTCACCTTGTGTTTAGCAGTTGTTCAACATAGGGTGCAAGAGATCTGGTATCCAAACCAGGCTGCCAGTCTCCACACCTTGTCAGAGATCTACCTAGTTGCCATTCAGCAAACTCCTGCTTAGCAAGAAGTGGATGTTCACTGTCCCTTCCAAGAGCCGAGACCACTCAACAAAAATCTCAATACCAGACATGAGCAGGCCTCTTTGTGTGCATGTGTATGCTTGTGTGCACGCATGTTTATCTGTGTGTGTGCATGTGCACATGCGCATGCCTACGTGTTTGCACATGGGTTAGCCTGTTGCTCTTGCCCTTGGTTGACCCCTCAAGGTGGAAGGTAAGTCCCTATTGCTGAAGACAACATGTAATCAGGAACAGGGCCCAGAGGCTCCTAAGCTGGAACTGACCTGAAAGGTTCCTTCTAAAGACTAGCTTTCATCATACCACAAGCTGCCATGGAAGCTTGACAAGGAAGGAGGCCACCAGCATTCCTAGCTACCTATGGAGTCATGAACTCCGACAGCATCTGGCATGGCATGGTAACTGCAAGGGTGTGGTAGTTGTGGACTCCTAGTTTATCAGAGACAGGAAGACTGGCTAGAGGATGGGGCAGTTTGAAGGCCTTCTGCCTCTCAGGGGTGACTGTAGCATGATGGGTGCTGACCTCCTGTCCTCTTGTATAGATCTGTAGCTTAAGTTATCAGATCTCCACCACCTGTTCCCTAAGTCTAAACTCAACTCTGCCTCTGGATCTGCTTCTCAGTTTGTGGAGGTGTGGATTGGTGGAGGATCCTCCCTCTCACCTCTGTCTTGGACCCTGGTCAGAAAGAAATGGGTTACCAAGGAAGCATGTCTAAAGGTCTCATAACCTCCACATTTGGAGCCCACAGAACTGCCTAGGATATTAGGAATGCATGGGAAATCAATAGAGAAGACAAATCCTTGCCTGTTGAACTCTTCCTAGTTCTTTACCAGTCCACTCACACCCCTTATTCCTCCTGGAAACCTTTCTTCCCCATACACCCAGAGACACATAACTTCTACCCATTGGTCTCTGCCCACAGAATGACTAGGTCCCTTCACAGGCACACCATTAACCTCCTGGGCATTTGGAAGGAACTCCTAGTAGGAACAGTGGAAGCTTTTACACAGAACTAGGGGTTGAAGCAAGGCCAAGTACTATCTATGCTATGCCAGTCTCCATGGTATCTTTCCTGGTTCTAGGACCCTTTTCCAGTTCTGACTCCACACTAATTCAGCCCACACTCCTCCATTTCAATGTCTGTAGGGTGTAAGGGTACATACTGGACCTTGCAATGTTACCCTTGCCAAAAACCCAGGTTTCGTGTCTGATAGGTCAGAGCCTCACCATGCAGCTTGGCAGATGGGACCAAAGTTAGGGTAGCCTGCTCCAACCAGACCTCACAAACTGAAATCCTGGTGGGTTCAGGATAAGTCTCAACTGTGCTGACAGAAAGGAACAAAGGTGGAGAGAACCTCTCTAGGTCACACATCAGTGCCAATATGTGCCCTGTTCTGCAGTGTCTTACCTAGGAATCACGTAGGTGGTATCTCCTGTGGTGGCTCTCTGTCCCTGGAGGCCAGCAGCGCCTAAACACACATTGGAGACAGTGCTTCCTCAGTGCCAAAACACAAGAGTTAGAGCTATTCTTGTTTGTGGCTCTACTTCTCTTGGTGGTGGGTTAGGGACTGTAGCAACAACAAAGGAAGCTTGCAAGCAGAGTTTTTACAGGTTTTTCTCAGTCTGAATGTCAGATGCAGTGTGGTGTGTGGTATGTGTACATGTGTTGGTATTTTTCCAGTCCCGATGTCTATTTCCATGTCTTCCTCCCACATCTCCCTCTCTGACCACACTATGGGAACCAGTCACAGAACACCTCCCATTGCATCTACCCTCTACTTGTTTACCTTGTGATTTAGGCATGGGGCAGACATTCCTCAGAGCTGCGGGTCCGAGTCCTTAAAAGATCCTTGTTCTGCCATGGGTTGGCAGATGATAGATAGTGGTCTATCAACTTGACTTGTTAGGTCACTTCTATGCAGTGAGGAAACATGATTGACATGGTAAGAGGGTACAACATAATCACTGCTATAATAAAAGTGGCCATGTTATCATTAGGCTTCAGGAACTTATGAAAGGGCCTATGAAAGAATCTGGAGCTATGGTTTACAGAAGGCCCAGAATAAGGTCAGCCTAATGAGACATTCTGATGTGATTCATGATACCAGAATGTCCATAAAAATACAGACAACAAAAGATCTGATCATGAGGTTTCTTGTGCATTTAAGTATTCTTACTGAGAGTCAGTCTGAAGCATCCACGTTATATTCTGTCAAGGATTGTGGTTCCAATCTCTGAAATGTTCACTGATTGGAATTAATAATAGCAGGATAGTTTATTGAGTGGTGAAAATATTTTACAAATCATTACCCTTAAGGCTGTGACATTGTTATTCTTCTTGTTTTTAGCAGAGTTTACAGTGATATTCAAGTGTAAAATTGTTGGGCATGAGAGATCCTGTGCCTCACCCCACCCATCAATGCTTGAGGAGAATGGGAGGCCATAAGGGCATAAGGACAGGAGAGCAGTAAGCCCTGTCTCCCTGGCTCTGGCCATCTGCAACTCTCAGGAGAGAAGACCTCGCCCCTCACCTGGGCAGCAAAATATAGCTTCTGGCAGAGGTGTGTGTGAGAACTGCCCCCATTAGTTATCTAACAGCAAGAATGGAAGACAGCTATCCTGAAGTCATAAGGGTGAGAGATCTGCCCCTGTCCCCCGCAGCTGAAAAACTATGCAGGGGACATACTGTACCTCCACTGGGCAGTGAAATTAAGCCAATTCTTGGCAGAGCCATCTCTGTGTCTGTCAGCATGGGAGAAATGTCCCTGTAAGTCGACTATAAAACGAAGGCTTGAGCAAAGTAGAAATACCCTTTACTTCTGCCTCAAACCCCATATACTGAGCCCATTAATTCCCCAGTAGAGAAGGTCCTGCCTCTCATCAGTGGCAGCACTCCAGAGACAGGCCCCTATTCCACACCTGGACTACATGGTAGAGCAGCTGCTGCAGGTGTGGGTGTGGGAGATCTGACACAGTGTACTTGAAAGTAGGAGAACTGGTCATGTCCTTTGCTCATCACTGCAAGGGGTGAACTTTCCAGGACAACACAGGGAGATCACCATGGTGGTGAGGATAATGGAGAGCTAGCACTCTGACCAACCCTGGAACTACCCAGGTCCAGAACCAGGAATATGAGTTGGCTCACCCCAGCATCCACCCCATCTGTCATCTACTGGGATAAGTGAATGGATCGGTCCCTCATATATCCTCTGAGGATATCTATAAAGCGAAGAAAAGGAACATTATGTCGAAATAAGTGTAATGATATAACATTGCAGAAATCAGTAATAGGACATATTTAATGAGAGAAGTACCAGGAAGTTAAGAGAACTATAGCACGAAACAGACCCTGCATGCTACCAACATGACAAGAGCCAGTGCTGCCTAAATCTGCCAATTATCAGATGAGATCACCATGTACCCTAGATGCTGCATATGTAACTTTAGGTTTTAATATTTGTCCTGTGGGGTTTCCATCTTCTCTGGGAACAATCTTCAGTAATATTTTCCTGTCTTTGTCTTTTGTTGTGCATTATGAAATAGCCATAAAACTTGTGTAACCTTTCCAGTTTACAAAGACTTAAAGCTAAGAATTTGACTCAAGCTTCAGAAAAAACCTTTGGATTTTGGAACAATGTGAACACTGTTCACATTAACTGGCCTTTGAAGCTCGACTAAGTAAAGTCTGTATTATGTGATGACCATGAGCCTTTGGAGGTCAGCGGTAAAATGCTATGGTTTGAATCTGAAGTAGTCATCACATTCTTATGTTTTGAAGCTTTGCTCCATAGATTTTAAGACTGTTTTGAATGCTATGCAGCATTTAGAAGGTGGGCCTGGTTGGTGGGACTCAATCAAAATGGCAGGCCTTTAAGGTATTTGCTGCCCCTGGATCCAATTTCTTCTTCCTGCTTCCTGTCTATTGTTTTATGAGAAAGCCACAGACAGAGCTACTAAACTGCCTTGTGCTACATGATTGACTGAAATCTCTTGTAACCTATGAACAACCTACAGTCTTTTTTAAAGAACTAGGAAAATAACATTATATTCTGTTAGTCTCTTAGGTGATCATCAGCCACCGATCCATGAGGTGGGGGAAGAAAAAAGTTGGTGGGGGATGACCTTCTGTATAAATGTTTCTCTTATTAGTTGGTGAATGAATCATGGATTGGCCAGTAGCCAGGCAGGCAGCATGGGTGGGGGTACCAGATGAGAAGGATTCTGGGGAGAAGGCAGAGAGAGTAGCTACACAGAGACACTGTGTAGACACTGGGAAGATAGAACATGCCAGGAGTTCTATGTTAAGATAAGGCCACGTAAAAATACACACCTTAATAGTTAATGGGTTAATAATTAAGAGAGAGCTAGCCAGTAAGAAGGTTGAGCCATCGGCTGAAGAGTTTATAATTAATAGAAGCCTCTGTGTGTTTATTTAGGACTAAACCATTGTGGGACAAAGCAGAACCAGAAACTGCAACTACAGAAAGTGAGCAGGGTCAGACTGCCTGAGGGTCTGCAGAGACAGCTCTCCATGAGACAGCTTCAGTGAGTCAGCTCAGCTTTGGCAGCTGGGGAATCATCTAACTTGCATTAAACAGCAGGCTCCTATCATAAAGTTCCTAGTACAAGTCTTAATTACCTTCTGTGGAAGAATGGTCCTGTCATAAAGCTCCTAGCACAATGTCTAATTAATATATTTGCAGCAGCGGGGAGCTCCAGCAGTGATCTATGCCAAGGATCACACTAGAGATAAATCAGGCACCCAGGCTTAGGAACAGTTTTCAGGTAAGGCCAGGCCTCCTCCAGGCCTAGAGATCTTCTGCAAATAAAGGCAGGTAGAGAGCACAAAGCCTCACTGGGATGGGGGAGTTCCTTCATGTTGCCAATCTCTGAGAAAGCTGCTAAGCCATGGTAGACTGCAACCTCTGACCACCAGGGCCTCCCAAAAATATTCTGCATCACAATGTCCACCTAAACATCATGCTGAAGTTTAATTACATAGAACACAACTAGCTCTTCTTCTTTTGCATGTTGCTATGACTATGATAAGCTACACCTATAAAGTCATCTCAGCAACTGCAATAGGGATGTCATTGTCCACAATGCCTAGTGTCACAATACCTATATAATTTCAAAAATGTTTATTTATGGACCTGTCTGCAAGGTCTGTAGTACATGGTGTTGTTTTTAGAAATTACCAAACACTCAAACTGATAAAATTTGCAACAGGGGAGATTGGCTACAGTGACCTTTATTTCTATATCCAAAGCACCAGCTCACCAACTATGATTTAAACATATATTATGTACTCAGCTCAGACAAGTTAACATTTCTGGTCTTACTTTTTCATCTGCAAAATGGACATGAAGCTTCTAAGTGGAATATTAAGAAGATAAAATTAGCAACTCTACATTAAAACACTAAGAAAATATATATCACAAAGTGGACCTCATTAAATAATTGCGGTTTGTGTTAGTGTGATTGTGCCTGATCATCTTTTAGCTGGTGTACCAGTGGATGAGATCTTTGTGGAAGTTGCACTGAGTCATTTATCATACTACTGAAAGTGGCAACACATGACAACATGAAGCCCAGAACACGCCTCTGTACTTCTTGGATATTCACTAACTCCATTAACCAAACCATTTTGTATATTTATTATAATTTATAGGTTACTGTCTAAGTACTGATCAGCTGGCAATGATCATGTAACATAATGCATTGAGGATCTCTTGGTTTAAGCAGGAGATAAAGGACAAGACTGTGGGAGGCATCTCAAATACTGATCTGAAAATATAATGCTGTGAAATCAACATTCGTTAGTCAATTAAAAGCAGTTCTCATGCCTTAATACTTAAACATCTATTGTGAAACATGATGGGACATACCTATAACCACAACACTTGAAAGGTTGCCGCAGTAGAATTACAAATTCAAGTCCAAAGTGCATTAAAGAGAAATCTTACAGCAGGTCTAGAGCTCATGATTACTGTCTTAAAACAAACCAGAAGGCAAACCCAAAGAACAGACTTCACCTTGCTCAGTATTTTGTTCTTTACTGTGCTGCTTCTATTTCTTAATTTTTGCATAAAACAATGATCATTTCCTCACTGTCTTTTAAAGACTTTTTTCTTTTTAATTATATGTATGTATTCAGCAGGGTTGAAGAGGATGAGGAAGGATTTTAAGAGCCAGAGGAACAAAGAACATGACAAGAAAGTCACAGCATCAACAAACATGGGCTCATGGGGGCTCACAGAGACTGATCCACTAACCAGAGAGCTTGCATACGACTCAACTAGGCCCACTGCACATATGTTACAGGGTGTGTCATGGTCTTCTTTTTGGTCTCCTAACAGTGGGAGCAGGGCCTTTCACTGACTCTCTTACCTGTTTTTGGACCCTTTTCTTCTACTGGGATGCCTCATCCAGCCTCAGCAGGGGAGTTGCCTAGTCTTACTGCATATTGATATAACATGACTGACTGATACCCATGGGAGACCGGCCCTTTCTGAAGAGAAAGGAGTAGGAGCAGATGGTGTGGGGAGAGGGGAGGGTAAGTTGTACGGACTGGGAAGAGAGGCAGGATGGAGGGAAAACTGTGATTGGGCTGGGGAAATTATGGTACTTTAGCCTAAAAACTAATGGGAAAGACAGACATGAACACAAACATTAAAAATTCAGATGACACTGAAATGAAATCAAGTTTTGACATCCTAATGGAAGAGATGCATAGGCATGACACATGAACAAGAAATAGGTGACCAGTGTGGAGAGGACATTGTACATAATCTACAGCAGTTGCCCAGGTGCTACCGCCTTCCAGTTCTGACAAAGTTTGAATAACAGGTACTTGTTTTGACACCAACCTGAAATAACACAACTCAAATCAGGAAAAAATATGTTTTAAAGACTGGAGTACTTCTGACAAGGAAGAAAATTGTCCCTATTAGGCATGAACATAGTTACATTCTATTACACTAATTTTCTATCACCCTGCTACAAGATAGCTCAGGCTTTGTTAGGAGATGAAGTGGATACAGTTGTTCAGACTCTACTAGACTCCTGGAGCTGAGGTGTTATTTGGTGAAACAAGGCAGATCAAAATCACAGGACAGAACTCAAGAGAGGAAGGAACTGAAAAGGGGGGAATGGATGCTCTGAGATCTAGAGATGCAATCTTGGACATACTGCAGAGCACCCATCAACTCAGACATTCCAGGAAATGACCTGGAGCTGAAAGATTCAATATTTGACACAATTAAAGTGCCAGGAAGAGTATGTCCCTTCCCATAAGTCAGGTTGAATGAGTCATAATTCACAGGACCATAGTTAATAGAAAGGTCTTGCTTCAGTCATCAAGAATGAACTATAGGAGGATGCATCTAATGTATAGCAAAGATAAGTTCTGTGTTAGTATACCAAACAAGTTATAGAAACAATAAATGGAAGAATCAAACTATGTATAAACAACATGCACCAATAATAAAATGAGGAAAAATAGGTGCAACATGAAAGATAATTTTAACCAAACTTCCCTTGTAGAGATACCAACTCGCAGACATCAGATAGCATGACCAACAGCACCCTAATGAGATCACCTTTGAGCAACACAAATAGATCTGTGCAGTCTCATGAGACTATTTGAAACCCCATTTACTGATGGGACACATAACTAGAAATGTGTATCACGAGTGCATGGGTCACTGTTAAATAGTTAGCATTTACTACTATAAAGACACACAGATTCTCTTTTCATTTTAAGTTAACAAAACTTGAGTGATGTCACAGTCTGAGCAAAAGGCAAGAATGTAAACAATGATAAGATGTATAGCTACAATACTGAACAAATTTCATGGCCACTTCTTGTTGCCACTGTAGTAAGCTCAAGGCTTATGAGAATATAAAGAAAAAGTCACATGATGTGAATAACTCATATATGGACAGCACTTCCTTTCAATAAATTGCCCACTATATTAAGTGATTTCTCATTATTTTTATGTATCTCTCACAATATATATGATATATTAAATATGGAAATCTGTCTGTAGAAGCTGTTTAGATTCTTGGTCTGACCTCCACTTTTCAGGCAGTTTAAAAGATTAAGTTCTTGGAGAATGAAAACATGTGCATATATTTTACCATGCAGTGGAATGGCATTCTTGACACAAATTCTTCATGTATAAACCTTTTATAAGTAAACACATGAAGTTAAAATGGTGTGAAATGTGTGAAAGGATGATATCAGGAAGAAGGTCTCAGTCATTTAAGTGTTTACTATGCAAGCTATCCAAATTTGAGTTTAGATCTTTTTTTAAGTTATGCATGATGGCACATCCTGCCATCTTAATGCTGGGAGGCACCGACAGGAGGACACCTGAAGTTCATTAGCTTGCTAACCCAACTGAATTAGGGTATGTCAGGCTCAATGAGACATGCTGTCTCAAAAAATTATAGTGGAGAACAGAGAAAAGATGCCTGGCATCAAATAACATAGATATAGGTACAGATATGCATACACACATGAATGTGCTTGCATGCACACATGCACACACACACACACACACACACACATATGAACACATGAACACCAATACCCCCAAAATGGTAAAAATATACAAGTGGATAAAAATTAGATCCAACTAGGGTTATGAGAGATAGCTCAGTGCATAAGAGCATTTGCTAGTTGTATGAGCATAGGAACCTGAGTTCAAATCTCCAGCACCCATATAAAAAGCTGTGCAAGATCATACATGTGCAGCTGGAATCCCAGACTTTGAGAGCTGGAGACAAGAGGAGTGCCGCTATTATGCTAACCTAGTTTCAGCTTCAGTTAAACAATACCCCAAAGGAATAAGCTACAGGATTCTCCTCTGGTCTATACATGTGCACAGGTACACACAGCCTAACACCAGGTGTACAAACACAAGGTGTGTGCATGCACACACACAAGACAGCTAGATGATGTTTTAATTAATTTTTAAAAGGGGAATATGTAGCACATACTCTTAGTAAAAATAAAATATTTGTAAAAGAAAATATAGAAGGTAATATATAATACAAACTCAGTAAAAGAAAGGAACCAATGAACAAAACCTGTCATTGTAGTGAATCTCGTCAAAATTTGCATTATGCGGTGTAACCACAGCACTGGTGTATTGTCAGATGGGGCTGTGAGGAGCTGGTTATTTGGTGTGGGCAGAGCCACCATGAAGAGCTTTAGCATTCTTCATCAAAGTGACTCTAGTGAGCTGCTTCATTCCTCCAGCCCAGGGAAGATGCAAGAAAAAGGCAAAAACTACTCGTGAGGAACTAATTATACCCTCAGTTAGGTCCACCAGTGACTGGTATTAGATTTCTCAGCACCCGGAATCCTGGGTAATTAATTTATACATTATGTTGGCTGCCTAGTCTGAAGCCTGTTGTTTATCATGTAATCTACATGCTAAAACCACACGACATGCTAAATCACAACACAGTGAGCTACCAGCAATCACTCACTGAAGCTCAGTGGGCTTGGTGTCTTCTCCTGCTGAGACTAGCTCTCACTCTTCTTTGATATAAAGCCAATCAGTGACATTGACAATACTCTAATACACCCTTGTCCTATCGGGCAGCTCTAAGCAGTGTGTACTCATCTCTATCACACACACACACACACACACACACACACAAACACACATGTGCAGCACTCTTACCTTTGCTCTGCTTCATGAGCTCTTCTATGAGTGACAAGATCCTGTCAAAATTGAGCATCTCACAGTCCTCTGAGATTCTTTCATGCTTGACAAATGCATTAGGGCCAAACTTATTAATTACTTCTTTGACCTACAAAATGAGTAGCAGCAATTTCAGATGTCTATAGGTTATTTTTACCAAACACTAAAGATGTGGGTAGTATCCAATTTTTTATGTTACCAAACAGATATTCTGGGTGTAGTTAAGCACACTTTTAATCTCAAGAAGAAGAAGCTGGTGAATATCTATGAGTTCCAGGATAGTCTGGTCTAAGTAGTGAGTTTCAGGCCAATCAAGGATACACAGTGAGACCTTGCCTCAAAAACAACAAAAAACATAGATATATATTTCATAGAAAAGATAGCTTTACATTGGTTACTCTTTCTTTTTTCTCATCTTCCTTTTGTATTTAAGTTAGAAACAACTTTTTCACATGTCAGTCCCACCTCACTCTCCCTCTCCTCCTCCCCTGCCCTCCTCCTCAGCCACCCCAGGGTTACTTTTCCTTAATAATCTTTTTCAAAATGTCTACATATGACTAAAAATACAGTTTTTTAATTTTACTCTCATAATATATTTTTAAATTAATGATGTATTGGCTTGTGTTTTACACTGTATTTTAATTAGGCTATTTTAAATTAATTTTTCCATACCTTATTCATTGCTTTGGAAGTTTTCATCACAGACCTACAAGAACATAAAATCTTTTCAGAAAAATATCAAATGTATTAAACACAAATTTCAATTTTCCTTCTTTCCATAATACGTTATGACTATTTGAACTACAATGACTACATATGCAAGAATAGGATTGTAAACAGGACAAGAACTAGGAATCAGAAATGTATTATCACTACCACCATCATAAAACGAAAAGTTTTAGTTCATTATCCTACCAGTTAAGGCAAAAATGCGTTATTTTATAGAAATAAATACACGAAGATTTCTACTCTAATTTTCAGCAAAAATATTTTTCGTCAATAAAACTCATTTTGAAATAGTATTTTTCTTCTTTATACATGGTGAACACTTAGTGACAGAACATAAGGCAGTTTTTCCTTGGGAACTATGACTCATGTGGTACTCACTATTCTAAGGACTGGGCTTGTGTTTCACTTACTTTAGTTTTCACAGCCTACTAGCTACTGTGTAAAGGTAGAATATAGGCAGAGACTGGCTGTGTTGCCACAGTCCCAGCAGCTGGCTGAATAAAAGATTTAGAATTCAAGTCCAGAATTTCCATATTTTATGGCAGAAAGTAATAATCTTCAGATGACTTTAAGAGACATAATAAAAAATTAATCCATATTATCATCCTATTTTATTATAATTACAGATAACACCATAGGATTGTAAATAATTTGGGGAGTTCCCCCATCCAAGTATTAACCACAGGTAGCCATGCTTATCTTCTAAGAGCAGATGAAATCCGGCTCATTTAGTGTCATATGGACATAGAATAAGTTTTTTTGTCTAAGAAAGTGTCTGTGTGGTCAAAATTCCCAATTCTCCTGCCTCAGGAACCACCATGCCCACCTATAATTTTTTTCAAAAGCTACAGGATGGAGCTGATGACGGCTCAACTGGTAAAGTCTTCCTTTTACAAACCTGAGGACCTGGGTTCAACCCTCCAAATGACAAACTAGAAAGCGAGGTATGGGGTGGGTGAGATAGTTCAGTGATAAAATCTCCCACCGCCAATCCTGAAGATGTGAGTACAATACTCAGGATGTACAGAGTGGCATGAGAAAAGTGACTTCTGTAAAATGTCCTCTGATGTACACATGCATACTGCACACACACATGCACGAAAGTAAGTTTTAAAGCAATAATTTTCTCTAAACTTACATGTGGTCATGTGCACTTGTAATCAGTAATCAGTCCTGTGGAGACAGAAATGGCAAAAACCCTGGAGCTTCCTGGTGAAATCTGTGCCAATGAGAGGCAGTGTCTCAATATGGTGGACTGGCAGGTGACTGTTCTTTGGTCTCAACATTCATGAATAGATACATAAACAAACATAAGACTACTTTAACTTAGGCAATTTTGGACACCTGCTTACTAAACTAAGTTGTCACTTAATAAATTTAGTTGTTTCATCTGATTAAATTATAGATTCTCATGATGATATTATGGAATTCCTTAATGAATAGTTAAATTCCATTCTGCATAGACAATGTACATATTTTCTTACACATAATTTTTGCAATGAATAGGGATATGATTTTTATTTTTGCATCAAGCTACTACTTTTTTCAAAATTTGGCAGTGGGCAATATGAATTTTTAATGTTTAAAAATCTATGTGTGATAGTTCATTTTTGAACTTACAGCTTCTATATTGAATTAGATGAAAATATTCCAACCCAACAATAACCTCTTACCACAGAAATACAAGTATGAATACAAGTTCCATGGACCTTGTCTAGTGTAAATCTCCCAAGGCAATGTATTAAGATTTGTAATGTTTAGACATCAAAATATAACAAATTGAATAAACATGTTCTTCTCTGCTGGATCAGTCTGACACCATGAAACCATATTCTAAATCTTTCATGTTAAAACTTTAAAATTCATTAGTCTATGAATATGACAACTTCAGTATCTTGAAGACTGTTTAGAGAACGTACAAAATTTATGATTTCACCATGAATAGCCACACCCTCAGCATACAAACATATGAAACATATTGTTATTAGTGTGTTTATTATGTATATTATATACCCTTGATATGTACATATAACATATAGTCACCTTTAGTATAAAACAAATAAATATCTTTAAAATCATGTATACATATGTCTTCACAAGGAATATTTTTCCACCTCAGAATGATCTTCCTGAGTAAACACTTAGGTTTAAAAGAGTAAAATATTAGAAATTCTGATACATGCCACACATAATACATTAACCTTGAAAATCTGTTCACTGATTTCAATGACAGTGCTTGCAAATGCTTTATTCTCAAATTTGCCAACACTGGTTGCCATTTTAATAAAATATGTCAGCAGAATGGGAAATAATAGCATCTGGTTGTTGATTAACATCTAATGATCATGCAAGACAGAGTGTCTCAGGTCTAAGAAGTATAGGACATGTTCATCAGGCACACAAGCTTCAGTGGAGAATAGGGTCTGCTGTTAAATAATCACTATAGCCTTACCCATGCTCTACTTGGTTCTCCACTTGGTCTTTAGCCTTTTCATCAAGTGCTTGAAGAACTGAAGTTGCAGCACCAAGGTTCAGGTTTTCTGTCAAATCCACCTCATTGACATTGTGCTTCTCAGTTTTTTCTGTGACCTTTGATAACAGTTTGATATGAAGAATAACTAATTTTAATTTTTAAAAAATCTTTTATGTGTATGAGTGTCTTGTCTGCATGTATGCCTGTGCAGTATGTACAGGTCCCAAGCTCAAGAAGCCAGAAGGGGACATCTAATCCCAAGGGAATGGAGTGACAGATAGTTGCCAACCACCATGTGGGTGCTGGGGTCCTCTGAAAGAGTAGCCAGCCCAGTGTTCTTAACTGCTGAGCCATCTCTCCAGCCCAATAACTGATGTTCTTTAATATAAAAACTTTTTCATTAATTTCAGCACTTGACTCATTAATTTCCACAATTTTCTTTCATAAAAATTACCTTGTGGTGTGAGGGAGGCTCTCGATGCTTAAGAGACTTTCATGTTCTTCCAAAGAGAACAACTTTGGTTCCCAGCCCTCAGGGCCAGCTGCTCACAACTGCCTGTAACTCAAGCTCTGTCTTCTGGCCACCTTAGCCACATACAGATGTGGAAGAGAGACATACACACAAATAAAAATAACTATATAAAATAGAAAGCACAACTTTATATTGAGTTTAACTGCATCATTACATGGCATCAATACTTATATAATTTGCCTTGTTTCTGTTTGATCAAGAAGGAAGAGACCATTGCTAAATTGTCATGTTATCAAACAGCCTTCAAAATATTAGTGTTTATACCCATATATCTGTGCTACTCTCAAGCCCGGTTAGTGGTGGAACATAGTCAAGAAACAGAGTTGTGTGAGAATGCTGAGGCTCATAAGAAAACAGAACAAGAGCCTTGTGACCTCATTTTCATCAAAACACAAAAATGTTCTGGGAATGTGTTTCCATGCTCCCCCTAGTGGTAGCAGATAGGAGTGAGTTTACTTCATGTGTTGTTATTCATTAGCCTCTATGGAAAAATGTATTTTTGTCACTTGGGACTTGTCCTTGTGATTGAACACCTTACTCATGTGATTTTTCTTAGGCCTCGGAGTATAAATTGCCTGATTCTCTGAGTAAAGTGGATTATTGCACAAGACTGTAGTCTGCCTCATTTTTAGGCCCAGCTCTCCCAGGTTCATGCTGCCAGCTAGAGCAGCAACAAGTGAGAGAAGCTTCTTTATGCATGAACATCAATTAGTGCAGAAACTTAGACTTGCTCAAAGTGCCAAGAATAGAACACTGTGCATGCTCAAACCTAAGTGGGGCATCTATAACATGTCCCAAGCATAGAGAACACTGAAGACAATCTGAATTGGGAAACATAAGAGCCAGAGAACAGGGAGGAATGTTTTATTCTGGACTTAAGATAGTTGTTATAGTCATGAACCTGAAGCAGCTATGGTTACCGGCATATGACTTGTAGAAAATAAGTAACAATATCCTGATTAGCATTATTAATAGAAGTCACAAAGTGCTTGTTAGAGTGTAGCTCAGTGTTACAGTTTTTGCCTGGTATTCCCAAGGTCCTATGTTCTATCCCCAGCACTGGGAAAAATATGTGTGTGTATATATCTTGGACTGGCAAGATAGGTCCATGGAGTCCAGTTCCTAGAACATACATGGTGGGAGAAGGGATCCAAATCCTAGAAGTTGTTCTCTGATTTCTGTAATCACCATGGCAGCCACATGACAACACACAGCAAATATTTTGGTTAATTAAATCTAATTTTTAAATGATAATAGTAATTCCTCATGAGTTCATGGAAGAACAGGCATAGAAAATGCAATGAATATGACTTGACTGAAGGAAATTTCACTCTTGTCACTGACATCAATGTCAAGAGTGTTTGTTGAATGAACCAGTTCCACTTCTTGAAGTCAAGGAGACTGAGTCCACCTGCAGCATAGAGGCAGCATGAGCACAACTGCATCATTTACATTATTATACATTTATATTATTGTACTATATATAATATATGTCTATATATGCACATATATACACACACATATATAGTTAAACATATGTATTAATATACATCTTTATTATACATTAAATATTATTACTATATCCCCAAAATAAATTAATATATTCTCTAGTAATATCTATAATTCTGTTATATATAACATATGACTTATTAGAGCTTCCCTGAGGACTCATAAAGCAAGATCAGTAACAAGCCATAGCAGCTGGGCACACACCTTTAATCCCAGAAGCCAGAATCTAGGAAGTAGTGGTACATGACTTTAATCCTAGGACTCAGAAGTAGATGGATCAATGTGAATTCAAGGTTACCCAGATATAATCAATATTGAATCAGTCTATAAGAGAATTATAGCTCACATCCTTTATCCCAGAACTCATTTGAGGTATATAAAACAATAGCAAGGTCTCAATATAGTGCATTCATTCTCCAGCCACATTGAAGTTTCTCCAGACATGCTGAGGAGAGACAGCAGGATCAGCCCAAGCAGCCTCAGCTAGAGTTGAGAGCTAGTGGCCTGCTACTTTGCTCTTCTGTTCTTCAGCTTGAAGTTTGAAGCCCAGTTTCAGTCTCTGGGTCTTTTATTTTTCATGTTACAATTGAGGATAAGTAACATCTTTGTAAGATATTTATTTCACCATATGTAAATTCACAAGTGGATAACATTTTCTCTCATGTACAGATAACCAAGGTAATGTAAATTTAAAGGATAAAGTCTGTGTGTGGGGGTTGGTTTGTTTTGTCCAGACAAAGTTTCTTTGTGTAACCCTGGCTGTCCTGGGCTTCTGTAAATTAGAATGGCTTCAAATTAAGAGATCCACCTGTCTCTGGTTGCCAAGTGCTGGCATTAAAGGCATGCTCCATCAGACACAACTGAGAGCTGAATTGCTTTATGCAGACAAGTATTGAAGAAGCAAAACACCATGAGTCAGAATGGTCATAGACAGACTCAGATACAGAAGCAACTATAAGTAATTTCTGTAAACTAGGGTCAATTAGTAAATGTTTTCAAAAAGAATAGCACAAGGAAAGGTGAGATAATGAAATCAGAATAATTAACTAACAGCATAAAAATCATATGCCAGGAAAATAAGCCATATTATGCTGAGTTCCAGAAAATACTTTTCTTTGACAAACTGTCTGAATAAAGTAGGGACAGGTGCACACCTTTAATCCCAGCACCTGGGAGGCAGAGGTAGGCAGATCTCTGTGAGTTTGAGGCCAGCCTGGTGACTTACAGAACAGGCTTCAAAGTAACAGAGAAATCCTGTAACATGAAAAATAAAAGACCCACAGACTGATACTGGGGTCCAAACTTCAAACTCAAGATCAGAAAAGTAAAACAGCCGGGCCACTAAATCTTACCTCTGCCTCCGGCTGAAAGGTGATCCTGGCTCCACCAAACCTCACACTTACAACCCCACACTGCTATGCTCTAAACAACCTGGCAGGAGAATCCTGAGACAGACTCCTAAAGACCCTGCTCCTACCTTTTATACCTCTCTAGTGCTGGGATTAAATGTGTGAGCTCTGCTGCTCATTTAGACTGATTCAATCTCACTGAACACTAGGTGGCCTTGAACTCAGAGATCCATCTGCCTTTGTCTCCTGAGTCCTGGGATTACAAGTGTGTACCACCACTGCCTGAACTCTATAGCTTGAGGTGACTTGGCTTTCTGAATCCCCAGGGAAGCTTTAATAAATCTTAAATGATATATTACTACAATACCTTATCTTGAAAAACCAATAAAATAAAATGAAATAAAATGGTGGTAGGTTGGCCATTGGAACGTTGAAAAGTAAGAGCCACACAATCCCAGTTCAGATCAGGAAATTAAATCCATGAACAGACACTTTACCTTATCTTTGGATTCGTTTGGTGAACTGTAACCATGGGAGTTGGATCCACCAGGCGTCCTTCAGTGAAAAAACGTACAATATACAGGGATGAATATGTTTCTCTAACACACTGTGGTGTGCAGGGCAGCTGTGGGTTAAATGTGTTTCTGCACTGCTATGATTCCTCTTACGGTTTAAATAAGCTTTCTGTTATCACATTCTACCCTCACTACTCCCAAATATTCAGGAAAACATCACTCACAGTTCTAGTTATCCACCTATTACAATCCAATTTACAATCACATTAGGTAATCTTTTCAAGATCAAACAGATACATTGTAGCTCCATCTAGTTTTTTTGCAAATTTCAACATTTGTGTCTCTCTTAGCAGCTGAATAATACAACACTGTGTAAATATGCCATATTTTCATTATTCATGCATCAATTGGCAGGTATCTTGGATTAATCTAATTTTTGACTATTGTGAAGGGAGCAGCAGTGACCATGTGTAAGAAAGTATCTCTGTGATAAGATGTATGGTCCTTTGGGTATCAGACAGAAGTGATAAAGCTAGATCTGGTAATAGATCTATTTCTAGCTTTTTGAGGTACCTCCACACTGCTTTCCATAGCAGTTTTACCAGTTTGAACTCATACCAGCAATGAATAGTGTGCCTCTTTCCCTATGTCCGCACCAATATCTGCTGTCATTTTTTCCTTTTTTAATTTAAATTAGAAACAAGATTGTTTTACATGCCAATCCCAGTTCCCTCTCCCTCCCTCCTCTCCTGCCCCTCACCAGTCCCCTATCCCATCCACTTATGCTTCCCAGGGAGGGTGAGGCCTTCCATAGGAGATCTTCAAATTCTATCACACCATTTGGAGCAGAGCCTAGATCCTTCTGCGTGTGTCTAGGCTGAGAGAGTATCCTTCTCTGTGGTGGAGGATCCCAAAGTCCTTTCGTGTACTAGGGATAAATACTGATCCACTACCAGAGGCCCCAAAGATTAACCAGACCTCCAACTGACATCCTCATTCAGGGGTTCCAGAACAGTCCTATGCTGGTTTCCCAGATATCAGTCTGGGGTCCATGAGCAACCCCTTGTTCAGGTCAGCTATTTCTGTGGGTTTCTCCAGTCTGGTCTTGACCCCTTTGCTCATCACTCCTCTCTTTCTACAACTGTATTCCAGAGTTCATTTCTTATGTAAAGAGAAGACTTTTCCTTGCCATCGGCTTGGTTTTTCACCCACCAGTCTCCTGGGCTCTGCTACGTTGTAGTCCCCAAATAACACACAAGACACTCTATTAATTATGAAGCTGTTGGCCTTGCTTGTTTCTTACTGGGTAGCTCTGACTTAAGTATTTATCCCATAATTGCTAATCTAAGTATTTCTCTTACCGGAGAAGTTTCAGGGCGGTTACATCTTGACTCCCTGTGTTTCTCCTACCCAGAGTCCTCCTTGACCCCTAGTCCCACGTATCTTGCTTCCCTGTTGGACAACAGTGCTTTTTTGACATGTAAACAGGACTTCCCCAACACATCTCAGTGTTTAGCTGTGGGTGTCTGCTTGTTTCCATCAACTACTAGATAAAGACTCTAGGATGCAATATAAGGTACTCGTCAATCTCAATATCAGAGAAGGGTATTTATGACAGATTTTCGACTGTTGCTTAGAGTGTTAGTTGGGGTCAACCTTGTAGATCTCTGCACATTTTGCTAGTGCCAGATATCTCTTTAAACCTATAATGGCTTCCTCTATTATGGTATCTGTTTTCTTACTCTTCTCTATTCTTCCCCAGACTCCATCTTCATGCTTTCTCCTGTCCTTCTCCCCTCCTCTTCTCCCCTTCTCTTTCTTCTATCTCTCACTCCCCTACCACCATGCTCCCAATTAGCTCAGGAGATCTTGTCCCTTTCCCCTTCTCTTGGGGACCATGTATGTCTGTCTCACTTAGGGTTCTCCTTGTTTCCTAGCTCCTCTGGTGTTGTGGATTATAGGCTGGTACTCCTTTGCTCTAAGTCTAAAATTCACATATGAGTGAGTAAATATTTTTATCTTGTTGTGACTGGGTTACCTCACTCAGGGTGGTTTCTTCTAGTTCCTTCCATTTGCCTACGAATTTCAAGATTACATTGTGTTTATTTCCCCCAGAATAGTGCTCTATTGTGTAATTATACCACATTTTCTCCATCCATTCTTCAGTGGAGGGACATCTAGGTTTCCTCCAGGTTCTGGCTATTACAAATAAGGGCTATATGAACACGGTTGAACATACGTTCTTGTTGTATGAATGTGCATCTTTTAGGTATATTCCTATGAGTGGAATTGCTCCATCTTGTGGTACACTGATTTCCATTTTCTGGAAGAACTTACATACTGATTTCCAAAGTGACTGTATGAGTTTGCACTCCAACCAGCACTGAAGCAGTGTTCCCTTTTCTCCACATCCTCTCCAGCATAGACTTTCAATGGTGTTTTTGTTATTAGCCATTCTGACAGGAGTGAGATGGTATCGAAGAGTTGTTTTCATTTGCATTTACCTGATGGCTATGGATGTTGAGCACTTTCTTATATGTCTCCCAGCCATTTTAGATTCCTCTATTGAAAATTCTCTATTTAGTTCCATACCCCACTTTTTAATCGGAAGGTGTTTTGGTGACTTGCTTCTTGAGTTCTTTGTAAATTTTGGAGATCAGCCCTCTTCCAGATGTAGGGTTGGTGAATATTTTTTCCCATTCTGTTGGCTGCCATTTAGTCTTACTGACTGTGTCCTTTGCCCTACAAAAGCTTCTGTTTCAGGAGGTCCCATTTATTAATTGTTTATTTCAGTGTCTGTGCTACTGGAGTTATGTTCAGGAAGTGGTCTCCTGTACCAATTTGTTCAAGGGTATCACCTACCTTCTCTTCTAAGAGATTCAGTGTGGCTGGATTTATGTTGAGGTCTTTGATCCATTTGGACTTAAGTTTTGTGCATGGCAATAGACATGGATATATCTGCAGTCTTCTACATGCCAGCATCCAGTTATGCCAGCACCATTTGTTTAAGATATTTTCATTTTCCATTGTTTAATTTCAGGTTCTTTGTCAAAAATCACATGTTCATAGGTATGTGGGCTAATATCATGGTCTTCAATTCGATTTCATTTGTCTACCTGTCTATTTTGTGCCAATACCAATCTGTTTTCAGGATCTATAATAGAGCTTAAAGTCAGGGATGCTGAAGCCTCTGGATGTCCCTTTATTGTACTGGGTTCTTTTGGCTATCCTGGGTCTTTTGGTTTTTTTATATAAAGTTGATAATTGTTGTTTCAAGGTCTATGAAGTATTGTGCTGGAATCTGATGAAGATTTCATTGAATCTGTAGATTGCTTTTAGCAAGATTTTCATTTTTACTACATGGATCTTACCTATGCAAGATCGTGCTAAATGCTTCCATTTTCTGGTATCTTCTTTAATTTCTTTCTTTAAAGACTCGAGGATTTAACTCTACAGGTCTTTCATTTGTTTAGGTTAGCGGTACCACAAGGTATTTTATGTTGTGGCAACTGTAAAGAGTGATGTTTCTCTGATTTCTTTCTCATCCCTTTTATTATCTGTATATAGTTGAGCTCCTGATATGTTGAGTTGATCTTGTATTCTGCCGCTTTGTTGAAGGTGTTTATCAGCTGTAGGAGTTCCCTGGTAGAGTTTTTCAGGTCACTTATGTAAACTATCATACCATCTGCAAATAGTTTGACTTCTTTTCCAATTTGAATCCCCTTGATATCCTTTTGTTGTCTTTATTGTTCTAGCTAGAACTTCAAGAACAATATTAAATAGTTATGGAGAGAGGTGACAACCATGTCTCATTCCTGATTTTAGAGGAATCTCATGGAGGTTCTCTCCATTTAATTTGAGATTGACTGTCAGTTTGCTATATTTTGCCTTTATTATATTTAAATATGTTCCTGTTATCCCTGATCTCTCCAAGACATTTATTATGAAGGGGTGTTTGATTTTGTCAAAGGCATTTTAGCATCTAGTGAGATGATCATGTGTTTTTTTCAGATTGTTTATATGATGCATTACATTGATGGATTTTTGTATGTAGAAACATTCCTGCATCCCTGGGATGAAGCCTACTTGATCATGGTGGATGATTTTTCTGATGTGTTCTTGGATTTGATTTGCTAGTATTTTATTGTGTATTTTTATTGTCTTTGTATCAGCTTTCAACCCTTGCAGTGTTTGAAATATTTCTTGCAATTTTTGCTTTGTCTTTTCCACCATTTCTTTACTTTGTGGTTTGTTTTTTTCTTTCATTTCTGTAAGGGTTTTTTTCATATCCTACTTAAAGGCTTCTATCATTTTCATGACATTGTAAGGTCATTCTCTTCTGCTTCAACTGCATTGGGATTTTCAGGTCTTGCTGGTGTAGATTCTCTAGACTCTGACAGAGTCATATTGGTTTTTCTGTTGCTGAGTGTGTTTTTTTAATTTTTTAATTTATTTTGCAGTTTAAATTTAGATAAACAGGGTTGCCTCACATGTCAGTTCCAGGTCCCTCTCCCTTTCCCTCCCCTCCTCCCGTGCCATCCCCTCAACCCCCCCATTATCCCCTCATTCCCCCAGGGAGGGTGAGGCCCTCCGTGGGGGTGTCCATAGTCTGTCATTTCATATAGGGCAGGGCCTAGAACCTTCCCCAAGAGTTCAGGGTGAGAGTGCACCACACATTGTTGGATGGGAGTCCAAAGTCAGTGTGTATACTCGGGATGGGTACTGATCTGCTGCCCAAGGCTCAATAGATTACCTAGGACTCCTCACTGACACCCACATTCAGGGGGTCTTTATCAGTCCCCTGCTGGATTCCCTGGCTCATGCCTGGGATTCAAGAGTTAACCTTTGTGAGCTCAGCTGTTTCTGGGGGTTAAACCAGCCAGTCTTAATGCCTTTGGTCATCAGTCCTTCCTCTCTGTTACTGGCTTTCTTGAGTTCAGCTCAGAAGAAGAGGGAGTCTGCCTCTTCTTCCATAAGCCACTGAATGAGGTTTCTGTTTCCCAGACTTTCTGACAATGGGACTGTAGGCTGGCACTCCAC